CCTTAAACCAAGTGTGTCCTTCCTTCCTTTTCCTTATTGCAGTTGGAGGACAACAGCACACCTGAACCAAAGGAAAATGAGGAGGACGGCTGTCATCAGAATGGTCTTGCCCTCCCTGTAGTGGAAGAAGGGGAGGTTCTCTCACACTCTCTAGAAGCAGAGCACAGGTAAGTGAGGAGGACATCACAGGGCATGCAGTGTCTGACCCTTAAGGACCTTGAACATACTGGAGAAGATATCTCAGATAGAGTCCCACATACAGAGAGAAGTGGCCCAATCATAACTTGTTCTCTTTGTATGCCCCAGGTTGGCCTGTTGCCCATCAAACATTCTGTCACAAACCCAGCCATCTCTTCCACAATCTACTCTCCAATACTTTAATATTTTTAACTTCAGGCCGGGCACAGTGGCTCATGCCTGTAATCTCAGCACTTTGGGAGGCCGAGGTGGGTGGATCACTTGAGGTTAAGAGTTCGAGACTAGCCTGGCCAACATGGCGAAACCCTGTCTCTACTAAAAATACAAAAATTAGCTGGGCATTGTAGTGTGTGCCTGTAATTCCAGCTACTAGGAAGGCTGGGACAGGAGAATGGCTTGAACCCGGGAGGTGGAGGTTGCAATGAGCTGAGATTGCACCCTGCACTCTAGCCTGGGTGACAGAGTGAGGCTCCTTCCCCCCACCCAAAAAAAGCCAGATTTTGCAAGTGCTCTCTTTCTTCCTTACACTGCCTTGGTTTTGCTTCTACTGTCTCTTCTGTAGCTCTTTCTCTCTCAACTGTGAAGAGCCTCCATTTATTTACAGGCACCCAAGTAGCCACAATTAAAGCTTGTCCCACAGGGAGGAAAACAGAATTCCTTTAACATCCATTGTCCCTGGGCAGAAAAGTTTTCTGTGAAAAGAGATGAGCTGTTCACTTAGGCTTAATGATGTCATATTCTCTTTACCTGTCCTTCTGCATCCTGCATCCACCAGGTTATTGAAAGCAATGGGATGGCAAGAATATCCTGAAAACGATGAGAATTGCCTTCCCCTCACAGAGGATGAGCTCAAAGAGTTCCACATGAAGACAGAGCAGGTATGTTGTAAACCTTCTTCCTAGAGACCAGTTAGTAACCAGGAAAATAAGGAGTCCAGACAGTCCTTGCCCTGAGGGAGCCCTAGTTTAATGTGAGAGAAAGATCTGGGAGGGATGGGGAAATTACCTTAGTAGAAATGTAGCGGGGCTCCTAAATCTGCCTGGGAAATAAGGATCCCCAGTATTGGATACAAAAACCAAGTGTCAGTCATTAGCAGATTCCAGAAAATAGTATACTCTTTCATCCTCACAGCTCTAACTCCTTATCAGAACCACAAGGCTGTGTTCCAGAGTTATGGTCTGAGCTCTTGGTCTTTAAGGAAGCAGGTTCACCTTCCTCTGCTTCCTGTTCTGCACTGTAGTTTCCTGGTCCTCTGGCCAGAGCTAAGAAGCTAAATAGCTTGTGTCAGTTTATCCAGCAGTTGCTTGGATTCTTTCTCTGAATAAAACACTGCTAGATCCTAGGGTGAACAAGACAAATGGGGTTTCTATAAAAATCCTTGAACTTCTGGTGGCATATATTTACAGCACAAAGTACAATTGGCCAAGTCCTTAAAAGGGGCATGGCACAAGCTGGTATGAGACCTTGCCACTCTGAACTCTGTTAGAAATAAGGACTTATGGCTGGGCGCAGTGGCTCTCACCTGTAATCTTAGCACATTGGGAGGCTGAGGCAGGCGGATCACGAGGTCAGCAGCTCGAGACCAGCCTGGCCAATATGGTGAAACCTCATCTCTACTAAAAATACAAAAATTAACCAGGCTTGGTGGCGCACGCCTGTAATCCCAGCTACTTGGGAGGCTGAGGCAGAAGAATCACTTGAACCTGGGAGGCAGAGGATGCAGTGAGCCAAGATCGTGCCATTGCACTCCAGCCCGGGCAAAAAAGGGAACCCCCGCCCCAAAAAAAAAAAAAAAAAAAAGAAAAAGAAGGACTTTCAAGTTCCATCCCAGACATACTGAATCTGAATCTGCATTTTTGAAAGATGCATAGATGACTCGTACATTAAAATTTGAAAAACACTGCTATAAGAGATCTCAGAGGGTCTCTTAGAAGCACCCCCTATCCCACATTCTACCTAGAATTGAATTGAGGCCTGGCCTTTCCCAGGGCTCATGGGTCAGTACAGTCATTGACAATTTTTTCTTTTTTCTTTCTCTCCCATGCTAACCATAGCTGAGAAGAAATGGCTTTGGAAAGAATGGCTTCTTGCAGAGCCGCAGTTCCAGCCTGTTCTCCCCTTGGAGAAGCACTTGCAGAGCAGAGTTTGAGGACTCAGACACCGAAACCAGTAGCAGTGAAACATCAGATGACGATGCCTGGAAGTAGGCATATAAATGCTCACAGTTAAATCTGACCCAGTAAACTCTGTGTGTTTAGGGAGTATACAAAAGAAATTGTTCTTTTCCTTTTCTTATGTTGTTGAATACTTCATTCACAAGGGAAATAATCGTATCCCAAAGAGAGAGCGATTGGCTTGTTTCGCTTTTTTTGTTGTTCTTCCCTGTTATCTGCTTAATAGAGAGAAGTTTGTGTAGTGGGACAGATTTTTAAAACACACACACACCCAGTATATATGGGGTGATGCACAGGTAGGAGCTGGCAGTGCAGGGAAGAGGAGACACCGGTCTGCAGCAACAGCTTCTACTACCAGCCCTTAGGGCACTCACCCCTGTGCTCAAGCAATCATTGTCAATGACAAAGTGACTATTGAAGTTATAATTGTATTAAATTAATGCTAATAATTTGGATATTTTATTTTATTTTTGGCTGCTCGGGTAACTTTAGCCCTTAACCAAGCATACGTGGTTTTTTTGGTTGTTTTTTTTTGTTTTGTTTTGTTTTTTTCTTTTTCCTTTTTGGGTACAGCTGTAAAATATTTGGATATAGGAAATGTTGTGTTATCTTGCAGCCTTGATATTCAGGGTGGATTGTAAAATATAAATTTTTGTGAGATTTCAAAGATTAAGATTATTTTGATAACATTATTTACAGATTTAAAAGATATGGTTATCACAAGTCTCGAGGGGGAAACTACTGCATAAAATAACTAACTTGGAATAAATATTTTGCATCAGTTTGGATTGTCTTGTGTAAGAAGTATATTTTCTTTAAAATTAAATGAGTGGATTCTTTTTTAGGGGAAATATTTTTAGAAGTTGGGGGGAAATGTTAATTCAGACACAACTGTTCTCTTTTTAGCAGATACTTTTTTGATGCAGAAAAACCTGTGCAATAAATTACCACTAATAAAGTCAGAAACCAAGTTTTTTTTTTTTTTTTTTTTTTTTTCCTGAAACTGTTTTTTAGTGCCCATATATTTACCAGTATACATATTTTAAGGGAAGTCTATTCTGTTTTCCTACTAAATAAGAACTTGGAGCAGGGGTTGGGGGAGAGTTGGACAATGCTAGCCGGATGGCTAGTGAAGGAAGCAGGTTTTTTCATTCAACAAATACTTTCTTTTTTATTTTTATTTTTGAGATGGAATCTCTCTGTGTCGCCCAGGCTGGAGTGCAGTGGCGCCATCTCGACTCACTGCAAGCTCCGCCTCCTGGGTTCCCGCCATTCCCCTGCCTCAGCCTCCCAAGTAGCGGGGACTACAGATGCCCGCCACCACGCCCGGCTAATTTTTTGTGTTTTTAGTAGAGACAGGGTTTCACCTTGTTAGCCAGGATGGTCTCGATCTCCTGACCTCGTGATCCGCCCGCCTTGGCCTCCCAAAGTGCTGGGATTACAGGCATGAGCCACTGCCTCGGCCCATTCAACAAATACTTTCTAAGCCCCTGTTGTATGTCCCCAGCATTGTGCAAGGCTCTGAGGATGCAAGGAGTGCCCAGCCCCATAGGGGAGAGAATAGACAGTGATCTAAGAAAAGGCCAGGAGTGCAAGACCAGCCTGGGCAACACAGTGACCTGTCTACAAAAAACAAAAACATTAAAATAGCCAGGTCCGGCAGGGCATGGTGGCTCACGCCTGTAATCCCATCACTTTGGGAAGCTGAAGTGGGTGGATCGCCTGAGGTCAGAAGTTCAAGACCAGCCTGGCCAACATGGCGAAACCCCATCTCTACTAAAAATACAAAAAAATTAGCCAGGCGTGGTGGCAGGCGCCTGTAATCCCAACTATTTAGGAGACTGAGGCAGGAGAATTGCTTAAACCCAGGAGGCAGAGGTTGCAGTGAGCCTGTACCGCACCATTGCACTCCAGCCTGGGCAACAGGGCAAGACTCTATCTCAAAAACAGAAACAAAATAGCCAGGTCCACCTGGTAGCACACGCTTGTAGTCCCAGCTTCTTGGGAGGCTAAGGCAGGAGGATTGCTTGATTCCAAGAGAGGTCAGGGCTACAGTGAGCCATGATGTCATCACTGCAATCCAGCCTGGATGACAGAGTGAGACCCTGTCTCTTGAGGGGGGGTGGGGGGATTGGTGGTAGTATTTCTACCAAATGCCTATCGCTGTTGCACCATTATAAAGTCAAACAGTCAAAAGTCTAACCACTGAAAATCGGGACAAACTTAGCTGTTGAAAAGTAGGTTTTGATTTGGGCTTTGCCATTTACTTGTTTTCTGAGAACATATTTCTAAAAATGTGCTCTTGGTGTCAGTTGGAATGAAGCTGAACTGAGATGACATAACCTTGAATACTTTGTCATTTGCTGCTGGTGGGCCATACCTCGGCTTTAGGTACTGTGTTGGGAAATGTCTTAAGTCCCTGTCTTGTTAAGGGGTTTCTTGGCCGGGCACGGTGGATCACGAGGTCAGGAGATGGAGACCATCCTGGCTAACATGGTGAAACCCCGTCTCTACTAAAAAATAGAAAAAAATGAGCCAGGCTTGGTGGCGGATGCCTGTAGTCTCAGCTACTGGGGAGGCTGAAGCAGGAGAATGGCGTCAACCCAGGAGGCGGAGCTTGCAGTGAGCACTGCACTGCACTCCAGCCTGGGTGACAGAGCAAGACTCCGCCTCAAAAATAAATAAATAAAATAAAGGGGGTTTCTTAAGAAATATGTGGTCACCTCAGAGCTCCTGCATATATTTTGGGAGTGGGAGTGGAGTGAAGAATTTCACCAACAGTTCAGGGCCTTTCTGGCTTCTGGCCAATCTTGGGAGAGAAGGGGTTTCTTTGTGGACTTGACCCCCTCATCTGATAGATTCATTGTGTTCACCCACAGCTTCTTGGGCTGTGCTGATTATCTCCGTCTACAGCTTAAAAACGAGGAATCAGGGAATGCGAGTTAGGGAAAGACTGCTATCTCTGGTGTGACGTGGTTTCCAGGCAGAATGCTGGAAAGGTCAGTGTGCCTCCTTTACCACGTAGTTCTCTGGATTGCAGAATGGTACAAACTGTTACTTACATCTACTTAGGAGTACAGCAGTGAAAAAGATGATGCCTGCCTTTTAGAGGCTATTAAATGACCAATGATGGAGTGATAAGGGCCCAGCTACTCTAGGAGGCAACTGTTTTTTCCTCTATTAATAGGGAAACCAAGCTACAGTTAAGAGACTTGCCCACGTTCAGACTTTGTAACACTTTTTCAAGCCAGTGGCTCCTCCCAAATGGCCAAGGTGTCCCCACCCATTCTCCTGACCTGCCCAGCCTTGTGGTTGCTGTCCAGGGAGCTAAGGCTCTCACCAAACAAACTTGAAGATCTGGCAGACCTAACAGACCTGGCCTTTCCTCTCGGCCTCTGGCTTTCTGTCTCTTTCATCCTCCTCTGCCTTTCCCCTGCCCTTGATCCCTTCTGCAGGTCTTGACTTGTTTCAGGAAACAGGTCCCATCCCATGGACTCCCATTCTGGGGAGCCAGCGCTCCTGCCCTGTGGGACCTGTGACATGGTTTTCCGCTCCTCAGCTCTGTTAGCCACCCACACACAGCGCTTCTGCATTGGCCACCCGACCCAAGAGAAGACATTGGGAGCACAGGCCTCAGTTGCCACTGAACCCCAAGGGGCCGCGGTAAGGGCCTCCATGGCCATGGGTGGGGATTCAAAGGAGCAGGACCTTTATAATTCCTCATCCTCCTACACCCTGTCCCCAGGTTGTGCCACAAGATCTCCAGGGCCTCCCAGACCAGCAGGCCAGTAAATCTGCTCTAAAGAGGTTAACAGAGGAGGTACAGCTGCCTACCTTTCCCCAGGGCACAAAACGTTGAGCGTCTTTCCCAAACCTGTAGATCATACTTGGGACAGATTCTGCCCACACAGAGATCGCGGATCGCTGTTACCTCCAGGTGCAGTGGCTGCGGCTATCCCTACAGGAAATGCGGCCCTGGATAACAGAGGTCCCCAGGGTGCTCGCGGGGTCCTGGACACGTTCCGAGGCGCGCCCTCAGAGTCCCATGTCCGAGGCGGTGGGAAGCCCCAGCGAGCGGCTGCGAGCGCTGTTCAGGACTCGCGCGAGGCGCGTGGCGGAGACGGAAGCGCAGAGCTGGGCCCTGCAGCGACGCGGCCAGGGTGAAGGAGATGGGGGGCGGGGACCAAGGACCTCCTCTGCCCTTACCCTTCGGCTTAAGCTTGCTCGCGCCAGTTCTGACTCGGCCCGCATTCCCTCAGAACTGAGCCGGCGCCTCCAAGGTGTGGCCTGTACGCGGGGCGGGATGTCCCGCCTCTTCGGCCTGGAGCAGGAGATTCGAGAACTACGAACTGAGGCCGGTAGGACGCGGGGAGCTCTAGAGGTGTTGGAAGCCCGCATTCAGGAGCTGCAGGCGGAGCCAGGGTGAGACCCCGACGAAGCGGAACCCGGAACATGCGGCTCCGGGGTGGGAGGGGCCGGCGGGCTGGCTGGAGCTGCGGACCCCTGATGCGTTACCGTCTCCCTGCGCGTCGCCTGCCACCCCAGGAACCCGCTGAGCTCCGGGCGAGAGGCAAAACTCTATTCTCCAGTGCTAAAGGCCAACCCGGGAACTCTGGCTGCCAAAATCGGGTGAGGGCCGGGGTCTGGAGATGGGCATGGGACGAAGCGCTGAGCAGTTCTGGAAAGATGGCCTTCCTGTTCCCCATTCCCTAGGGCCCTGCAGGAGGCCTACATTCGAGACGGAGGCCGGGACCCCGGTGTGCTGGGCCAGATATGGCAGTTGCAGGTGGAGGCGTCTGCACTGGAGCTGCAGCGGTCGCAGACCCGCAGAGGTGAACAGGAGGGCCTCTCGGCAGCGGTGGTCAGTCCTGGGAGGAGAAAAGAACTCAAGGGAGGGTCTGTGGCTGTGGATAGGATGTGAGCTGACAAGTCCAGCCTTATCCGAAGAACCTTAGCGCTGGAGAGCTGCTCGCAGCTGGACCCGGCCAGTCACCAGAGGTCAAAGGTGACAGGTCACACTTGTTAATTGCAGGAAGGGCAGGTGCCACCTCAGGGGAGCTTCCAGTAGTGGAGGCTGAAAACCGGCGCCTGGAGGCAGAAATCTTGGCCTTGCAAATGCAGCGGAGTCAGGCAGCCTTGGGTCAGTGAGTACCCCAACCCTATCCCATCCCGCCTCTCTCCCCCCAGCAGGCCTGGCTGGGGCAGGCAGCCAGTGCATGGGGAACAAGACCCGTGTTTATGACTCCCCTAGTCTGCACGTGTGTGTCCCTGTATCCTCAGGGCTCCGTCAACCCATTTGTGGGTATCTCAGTTAATTACCTGCTTTGTCCAACTTAGGGGCACCCTAACTCTTCTTCTGCTCCTAGGGCCCCGGGATCTGCCACTCCTGTGGGGTGCCAGCCTACAACCGAAGGGGAGGAGAGATCCCCCACTCCTCTCACCGCCAGTGGCACCACCACTGCCACCACTGCCACCACTTCCAGGCTTCATGGAGGTTCGGTTCCTGGGTGGGGGAAAGGCTGTGAAGACACTGGGTGGAGGGGGGAATAGGTTGCGGGCAGCTCTGCTCTGAGCAGTTGGGGGACAACACTTGGGCAGCTAAAAGGCCTTCTGGAGGAGTCAACTATCTTCCCCACAGCCACAGCTTCCTGGAACAATGACCAGAAACCTGGGCCTGGACCCACACTTCCTCCTACCCACATCGGACGTGCTGGGCCCTGCACCCTACGATCCTGGGTGAGGCCCATGCCACTTTTCACATCCTCTGTGACTTGGCCAGCACTGCTGGTTAAGGGAGCCCACTAGGGCCAGATAGGGTTAGGAACCTGCCTGAGAGGAGAGAGGTTGAAAGGAGTTGGGTGTTTCTATGCTAAGACTTGTGTTCCCCAGGGCTGGCCTGGTCATTTTCTATGATTTCCTGCGGGGCCTTGAGGCTTCCTGGATTTGGGTGCAACTAAGGACTGGCTTGGCACGCGATGGACAGGATACAGGAGGGACCACAGCATTGCCCCCAGCCATTTGCCTGCCCCCACCTCCTGCTCCCGGGCCCATGGGCAACTGTGCTATCCTTGCCAGCAGGCAGCCTGTGCCCAGGTCAGTAGGTGGGGATCATGACTCTGGTACTCTGCCACAATTAAGGCTTATCCATCATTCTGCTAAGTTTTCTCATCTGTATACAGAGGCCACTGGCTCTAAAGGGCTAAGTCCTAGGAAGGGATTGCAGGTCTGGCTTCCGACACTGCTTTTTGGTTATTCTACAGACTGCCACCCTCACCATCAGTATCTTTGGTCTGTGAGCTGCAGGTCTGGCAGGGCCTGGCATGGGCTAGGGCACCACAGCCAAAGGCTTGGGTCTCACTTGGGCTATTTGACCAAGATCAGCGGGTGCTAAGCGGCCGCTGGCGCCTCCCACTTCGGGCCCTTCCTCTGGACCCCAGCCTTAGCCTCAGGCAGCTGAATGGGATTCCTCAGGTGAGTGTGGTGGGTGGGGATTGGGCATACAGCAAGGTACAAGTGCAATACCATTTCATCTCTCCTCAGGCAGGTCAGGCTGAGCTCTTTCTGCGGCTGGTGAATGCAAGAGATGCGGCTGTCCAGACACTGGCAGAGATCAATCCAGCAAGTGCCCATGAGTACCAGTACCCACCTCCGGTGAGGGCCCAGCTGCAGCTAGGGACACCACAGCTACCCATACCAGTGTGGCTAATAGCCAGCCTTTATTGACCACTGTATGCCGGTGATTACCAGTGCTTTTCTGTTTGATCCTCACATCTCTATAAAGTCCTACTATGTAACAGATAAGGAAATCAAAGCAGGACCAGGTTAACTTGGTTCGCAGTAAGTTGAGACTCTAAGGAAGCCTAACTCCACAATCTGTGTGCTTAACCTTTACATTTTTGCTCAAAACCTGCCTTCTCACTGTTCCACAGGTGTCGAGCACATCTTCATCAGAAGCCAACTTCCTCACCCCCACAGCTGGCTTTGCTGATCCCCCACCTCGTACAGAAGAGCCCCTCAGTGGAGTCAAGGATAGATGAGGGTTTGGCCCCTCACCACAGTTCTGACTTGCCCCCAGTGAGTTTCTAAACCCAAGTGAATGTGGGGATGAGCATCTGAACATGCACAGGACTGGGGCCTATTTCCAGACCTACAGCTTTTACTACTCCATGTTCTGACATTGGGTCTAGAAGCAACTAGCAGTTGAGTACAGAATACGCTCCAACCACAATTTTACCACCTCCCATAAGTCCTTTTCTGTACCTCTTCTGTTTTTGTAAAACAGGCTAAGGATTAAATGAGTTTGTCAGGTATTTATGATATTGTCTGGCACTTACAAAGTTCTCCAAAAGGTGACTAGGGGGCATTCTTTAATTCCAACTAAAGGAACTTTAAATTCCCATTAGTTTCCACTGGTTTTTTTAGTAAAGCCAGTTTTATTGCCAAACTTAAATCTGTTTCCTCAGTATTTCTGCCAGGAAACCTTTCAGGTTGTCAAGGTACCAATAAACAGGAAGCTCCCGAGGCCTTATGTACTTCGATTCCGGGATAGGTCCCCAGCCCAAGGCTGTTCCCCCACCCAGAGGTCACATGTGAGATCCTAGCTTAGATACTGTGCCTAACCCTAGACCCCAGTGCCAACCAGAGGAGGTCAAGTGCCTGGGATTAAACTACATCATGACTGTCCTGACCAAGAAAGGGGGGGGAAGTCTCAGGACCTGGTACACTGCAAGGGCATCATCAGGAAGAAACTCCACACCCAGGATAAGCCAGAGATCCTGCAACCATGAGTTATTGTGACCAGCCCAGAAAAACCTAGTCTGAAAAATGGGCTTGAATTTAGGGGTCAGCCACAGCTCCCTCTGCCTCCAGTGCAACAAAGCAGCCCTATGGATGTCACAACTACTAAATTTTAGTGGTGATATAGGGCAGGCATTGTTTGGAATTCAGATCCTGATACTTAAACTAAGGGTCAGGTCAGAGGCAGCTCAGTCTCAAGTGAGCCCTGAACTCTAGATACCAGTGAGAGCCCAACGGGTATAACATTAATACTAGTGCCCTCACCACCAGCATCCTTGGACTGGTGGGCTCGTTCCTGCCTTTGAAACCCTCTATCACACACAGAAATGCTCCAGGCAGTCAGGTGAGGTGGCTCACGCCTGTAATCCCAACACTTCGGGAGGCCGAAGTGGGCAAATCACTTTAGGTCAGGAGTTCGAGACCAGCCTGGCCAACATGGTGAAACTTTGTCTCCACCAAAAATACAAAAGATTAGCCTGGTGTGGTGCCACACGCCTGTAGTGCTGGCTACTTGGGAGCCTCCTGAGGCAGGAGAATCTCTTGAACCCAGGAGGCAGAGGTTACAGTGAGCCGAGATCGCATCATTGCACTCCAGCCTGGGCGACAAGAGCGAGATTCCATCTCAAAAATACACAGCCTAAGATCCCACTGTAAGATCTTTAAACATAATTCCAGACAAGGAGATTTTTAGCATCTTTATTTGAGAAGTCAATTCAGTTGATGGGTAACAATTCCAAGTGTTGATATATCTCAACCTTTCTATACAGAAAATAACAAATAAAACCCAACCAGCCAGCCTCCCCACATATGCTTCCAACCACATCTGGAGTGTCCACCATCAGTCCCTTGGCTACTTTCAAACCAGAGCTCAGATGCAGACCGTTTTCCTTAGGAATCATTCCCCTGACCCAGGTTTTCTTCAGAGTTCTTTTTCCAGGACAGGATTATAGCCCCAGTTGAAGACTAGGTTGATATAGGACAAGTACCATTCTAGGCCTGGCTCACAGCCGAAAGTCCATAATCCATTTTCAGCACCGAAGAGCAAGATCTTCGCCAAGTCTTGTTTTTGTAGCCCCATCCAGGGACAGCACCACTAAAGGTTTGCAAGACAGCTGGATTCAGTGAAGTATTTGAAAACAGAATATAGCACCATTGGAAAACAAAGGCCTACAGCCACACTTGATCACCTCCACGTTAGACAGGTAAGAATTAGGATCAGGAACACAGATCAGTACAGAAGGCCAGAACAAAACCTTTGGCTACTATGTAAAACCAGGAGTGTTCCAAGGCAGATTCAACCAATAATTAAGAAAAAAAACCATCAAAGCCTCCACCTTTGCTTACAATCTTTATTGAAGTTATACAAAAAGAATCCTCCAAAAGTGAAAAAATACATTATATACAAAAACACTTTCCCTTGGGAGGGGGGCTGTGCCACCTCTTAACATGCAGTGCTTCCAACTGTAGCTCCAGCCTCCACTGTCGCTTCCACTGCCGCCCGGCTTTCAGCCCGATTCTCAGCCTGGAAGACAAACAGAGCCTGGGCATGAGTGAGCCTAATTTAAGCCGTTCTGTCTTACGTAACTGAGGCCTCAGTGAGAGGAAGCATATACAAGTCACCCAAACTCTGCTTTGCCCCCTATATTAAGAGGGCAGTATTTCTTGAATGCTCCGTGATAATGGGGTTGACAGAGCCAATAATCATATTACATGGAAGGAAGTGACCTAATAGTTTTGCCAATCAAGTGCCTTCTCATATGTTCATTGAGGGACCTATGATATACAGGCTCCTTTTGTCAGTGAGTCATCCTACACTCCCATAACCAAACTTTTCCTGCACAAGTACCGTTTCCTGTGAGGAATGCACTCAACAGTTGTTAACAGGCTCAAGGTGGGGAGCATGCACTTGGGAGGACTGATTTCCCCAGGTCCTGAGAACAACGAATGAGGCAAGAAGCTAAGCCCTGCTTAACTGCCCACCTCCTCCTCCATGTTTTCCGAAACTTCATTTCCACTGGGGACAGCATCCCCACTGCCTCCGTTCACCTCCGGCTCTGGTTTGGCTTTCTTTGCATCATCTTTCCGGGGACTCTCTTCCTCTGGTTTCCTCTAAAGATATAATTGTGAAGGCTTCACAAATGTGCTTAATGTTTTTAAAAACATAACTGCAAAACATTTCCTTAACCCTTGTGGTGCAAAGATCCTGAACACCAGGATTCATAGCTCTGAGGGTCTCTCTCCCTAGCCACGGGCAGATGCCAAATTGTACTCTCAGAATAAATTAATCTGTCCCACCATACCACTTCAGGCCCCTCTACCGGAAGCACAGGGAGACAGGGTTGGAGTGAGATGTGAATGGTAATCACTGTACGGGTTTGAATTCCTGTGTTTGAGTCAGGAAACACAACAGGAATTCAGAGTTCCCTGGCCGAGGGCAGTGGCTCACGCTTGTAATCCCAGCACTTTGGGAGGCCAAGGCGGGCAGATCACGAGGTCAGCAGTTCAAGACCAGCCTGGCCAATATGGTGAAACCCTGTCTCTACTAAAAATACAAAAATTAGCCAGGCGTGGTGGCACGCGCCTGTAATCCCAGCTACTCTGGAGGCTGGGACAGAAGAATCGCTTGAACCTGGGAGGCAGAGTTTGCAGTGAGCCAAAACGGTGCCACTACACTCCAGCTTGAGTGACAGAACAAGACTCCGTCTCAAAACAAACAACAACAACAACAAAAACTGTCTCCACTCACAAATCCTTACCCCCTTTGGAAAATGAGTGTCTTATATGCACCAACTATTATAGGGAAAGGTTTATAGGAAAGGTATTAAAAGGAAAGAAACACCACATGTAGACTTACCTTCTTTCTGACAAGGTGGGAAATATCAGTCACACAGTTTGATGAGGAAGCACCATCTGTTGGCTTTCTACCGGCAATCTGGCAAAATAAGTCTTTATTAGCAATTGTACAAGCTATATGAGATCAATGCTGAGGCTTATATGATATTTTAGTTTTTTTGAGACAAGGTCTCACTATGTTGCCCAGGCTAGTGTTGAATTCCAAGCCTCAAGCAATCCTCCTGCCTCGGCCTCCCAAAGTGCTGGGATTACAGGCATGAGCCACCACACCAAGCCAACACTGAGACTTAATATAAGTGACCAAAAAAACCACCTGAATACCCACCATGGAGACTGAAGAGCCTCCTCCACTAGGAGTGAAACCTGAAGTAGAGCTCTCCACCTGCAAGAAATGGCAAACCCAAATTGGTTTCAGGATAGAACCCAGGCCACCTGCAGCCTTGTAACAGGTACCCATCACCATCCAAACAACTAAGACCTGAAATGCTAGTGGCCTCCGTATAGTATCAAGATCTTCTACCCCTGGCCCACCTATCCCTGTCTAGCGGCCACCCAGAAGTAGTCGCAGAGTGTACCTGATAATCTTCCATATCCTACCTGCAGGGTAAAAAGCTCTGGGACATTCTAACACAGCCAAAAACAGAACCAGGCAATTTGTGGTGAATGCCTCTCAGTGCCTCACTAATTTATGCAAATGAGTTCTTAGAAATGGAAATAGCAACTTACATTTGTTAAGAAATGTCTATTTTTCCAGTACTGTCAGAAGTGTATTTTACACATATGTACTACAGGTTGGGCAGCCCATTCCTTAATCTGACTGACACTCAAAGGAAATGCTCTTTGGAGCATTTCAGATTCTGGATTAAGGGTATCCAACTGTTGAGTATGATGCAAATATTCCAAAATCCAAAAGCATCTGAAATGCAAAACACTTCTGGTCTCAAGCATTCAGGTAAGAATCTCAACCTGTATTATCCCCATCTTACAAATGGGTCAACTGAGGGAGAGAAATGCCCATGGCCACATATAAGTACGGAATTAAAACCCAGATAGTCTGGGGCTCCAGGGTATTTCCTCTTAACCAATGCATTATTCGATAGGAATAATTAGATGAGCCCCCCAACTCCCTGGAAACCAAGTCATGATGAAAAGTTCCTGGCAAATGAAACATTAACATAAATGGTACCAAACATGCTATTATCAAAATGTTAACAGAACCAACCAGAGTAGCTTTCAGAGCCAGTTCAGCTACATTCCCACTATGCTGAGACTCCTTTGCATCTTCTATCTTCTCTCTAATTTCGGGTAGCAATTCCTTTAGTTCCTCAATTTCTTTCTTGTATTCAGCAGACAATCCTTCAGCCTCCTTCACATGCTCCTTTAGTACAGCTAAAAAGAATAAAATGATTAGTAATGGCGCAAAAAAGAACTGTTATTTTCCCTTAACTGCTGGATCCAACATCACCATGAAGCAGCTGGTCTTCACTCACCCATTCTCTTCTCAATAACTTCAATAGATTTGCTGAACTGTGCCACTGCCTCATCATACTGAGAGTTGTACCCATAAGCCAAGCCCAGCTGGTAGTGGGTCTCTGCAAGGAGACGGTCGTGGGCTTCTAGGTACTGTTCCTGCAGGTTTAGGCAGGACTGGAATTCCTCCACAGCTTGCACATAGTTTTCTAACGAAGAGAAAAAGAAGAGCAAGTAAATGGACAGCATTTAACATAAAATACTTCCAGAATTCAGACCCATCCTACGGGAATGCCTCCATACTTAACATTTCATTTTTGTTTATAGTTATTTCCAGGACCCATGGCTATAAAGAATGTCAAAATGACTTTTAAAAACCTACTGAGGCTGGGCGTGTAATC